GTGGCTGAGCAAAGGAAACAGAAACATAGAGAAGTCAGGATATGATTTGAAATATGAAAAGAGATCATCTTTGGTCTGCTTTGGTGCTATCTGTTTTGCATACATTATTAAAAGTCTTTACCTGAAGTTTTTTTTTTTTAACACAAATATACAGAATTATAGGAATTAATTTTGATTTTTGAACTAATTTAGGTTAACTATGCATTCTGAGAATGACCTTCTACATCAAAGAAGCACCATTGTTTGCATAATGCCTGAGTAGTATAAGTGATTTTAAAGTGGTATTTTTCATTACTGTTGAGTTTGTAGGCAATTGGCACTTTTATGGGATACTTGAGAGGATCTTCCGAACCCTGTCGCTATCAAGGCATCAACCTAAACAGCACCTGCCTACTAAAAGGACCAATCAAACATCTCAACTGTGAACTCTCTGTGGGAAATATTTACCTATTACAAAGGAATATTTAATTTGAATGTTGTATGTCATGTTTTCAAACAGTTCCCAGCCTGCATTTGCCTGGAATGAAGTTCCGTCCACATGCATACATTCAAAGCCGGCTCTGATATTTAATAAGAATGACAACAATTAGGCGACTCTCTTAGCTCCTTTGCATTCCCTCCTCATGATAAGCACAGGATTTATTATTTGCCGCGAGTGCCAAGACCATGAGTAATGTTGCTTCTGCAAAGGGAGGGTATTTTCCAAAGCAGCCTTAGAATTTTGGCTTCTTATTTTCTTTCTTTGTTATGCTAAAAGGGAAATACTTTACTACTTTATCTGACTTCTAAGTACTTTACTACTGACTTCTATGTAGGACACTGATGCTAGAAAGAGCAAGAAGCAAGGAGAGGAGCAATGACCTGGGAATTATGACCTGTCAGAAAGCTAAGTGACTTTAGTCACTTCTCTATAAAATAAAGATACTAGCCAGGCATACAGCTCGTTGGCACAGCGCCTCCCTGGCAAGCACAGGTCCTGAGTTCAATTCCTGGTACAAAAAAAAAAGAAAGAAAGAAAGAAAGAAAGAAAGAAAGAAAGAAAGAGAAAAAGACAACATGATGTCTAAGACTAATTTCAGCATACCAAATTCTATAATTTTAAACATAAGAAAGGATGTTCAATATCTCTTAGTAAAACAGTTATTCCAAGATACCAACTTTCACTAGTGGATTGGTGACTATATAAAATTTGATTAATATGCTCTATTCATGAACAACAGTAAATGTAATCTATATGGAGTAAAATTTGCCGACGTGTATTTAAACTACAAATAAATTTTTTTATGAAACAATAGTATTTCCAGATATTTCTCCTATGGATGATTATGTAGTGATATGCAATGACATGTGAAAAATGTTATCCACAGCTACTTTCTCTTAATTCAGTGAGAAGAAAGATTTATACAAATATAATGTTTGGACAGGATATCATGTCTGCATCTTGTACTATGAATAACTACTATGAAGACAACAATATGCAATGAATTATTGTAACTGTCCTACTAACCTGTTTGAAACTGTCTCATTGCTATTTGTTTCTCAATAAAATTAATTTTAAAAAGTTAATGAACCACTTGATGTTTTGATGAGCAAAAGGCTATGAACAACTTCTTGTCCACAAAGGGAAAATTAAAATAAGTTACAGTAAAATAATGTGCAGATTTAAAGAAAAGTGGGTGGGGAAAATCTCTATATACTGACCAATTTTGCAAGAATAGTAAGAAGTTGGGTTGAATGCTAGGCTATTGGGTTGCAGAGACAGGGAAGAGAGGGAAGACTTTACAATATTTGGTCTTTATTCCATGTGGCTGGATCTCTATTAAAGTAAAATGTAAAAATTGAAAAGCACCAGTGTAGCACAATTTTCAGGAACTCATGTTGCTCTGAAGTTTGGTGTTTGGTCTGTCTGTGGCAGCACCCTCTGCTCTGCCAATCTGAGCTATGGTACTATAAGGTGGGGGACAGTCTCATGGCTTTCGACAGCTGTGGTGACTGAGACCTTAAACGGCAACTTTCCACCTGACTGAATGAAGAGATGACCAGCAGGTCAGGGAATCCCACACTGGGCATGTCTGCGAGGCTCTGGGGACAGCCCCAGGACCCTGGCCCTTCCTTTCTGGCCCTCCCACCCTATCTCTGCTGCCCGGTACCCATGCAGTGAGCCGCTGTGCTTCGCCATGTCTGTCTGCTCTGATGGCCCTGCCCCAGCACCAGCCTACTGTGGACTGAAGCCATGGGCCCAGATGAACTTTTTGTCCTGCAAATGGCAGCTGTCAGGTATGTTGTCCCATCAACGGGAAAGGTAACAACACACTGGTAAAGGAAAGGGGGCAGAGACCCAGATGAGGAAAGTGTGATGGCTGCAGTCACGGCAAGCAAGCTCCGCAGGCCTTCAAAGATGCCCCACGCTTTACCTCGGTAGTAGGCAAACTGCAGGTAGTCGTAATGCAGAGGAAGAAAATTCTCAAAGGGAGAGAGGCGGCCGGGGCGTGTGGCAAGTTCCCTCACACACTCGTGCTGACAGACCAGCACCTGCATGTAGTGATCTGGAAGACAAGGGGAAAGAGTGAGTCCTGCAAGCTGCTCATGCCGAGGCCGCAGCCAGCTCCAAGGCCTCCTCATTTAGCACAGTCGAGGAAGAACTAACTTTTAGTCTCACTTCAAGGCTAAAACCTTTGCACAAAGTCAGTCATTTGCCACCAGCCCCTGCCGGGGGTGAATAGAACAGCAGATGGCAGACCCTACAGCTTACAGTCTTTGTTCTACGCTGTAGTCTTTTCTTCCCATATCAATTTTTTTTTTAACCTGCCTGAAAGGGACAGAGAGCAGTTCACTGCCCTCATACCCAGGAAGGTGTGGGCTTGCTTGACAATCTCCAGGCTTCATTATGATGCTTTAGAGGGCCTGAAGTGTCTTGGAGCATCTGATCCTGCCTAGTTAGGTTAAGAAGGGGAGCGGAACCACCATGCATGGGTAGAGCTCAGATGGACAAGTAAAGGAAAGCTCTCTTTTTCCTTATTAATATTTCCAAGCCCAATTTTTCTAGAGGGGTAACAAAGACAGTTTATTGATATTCATCAATCAGGACCCCATTCTATCTGTTTACAAATCAGCCCATCACCTGGACATTGCCTATTCTTTACCAGGGAGTGGTAAATCAGGGGAAAGAATGAAAACTGAAGAATTTGGATAGGAGCTAGATAAAGTTGAGCTACATTAGCTATCTCCTAGCTACTCCAGGGGTCAAGGACTGATGATTATTTAAATGAAGTACAAGGTATTCCTTGTTTAACAACCTCCCTGTTTAATGATTGTTCTCACTTACATCCTGCCACTCAGATTTACAACCTACTTTTGTACAGTTCTGTACAACTTGTTTATCTCAATGTCTTCCTCTTGGTTAAAGCACACCTTGTTTATGTAGTACTATAATTTTTCTCATTGTGTTGTATAGTATTGTACTATAGTTTTATGTGCTGTTATGCATTACAGTACTGCATGTAAGAGTTACCCAAATACAAGTAGCCACCAAGTTGGAGTTTCCTTTGACCATTTCTTTGTTCTGAATATTGTAACCTGCATACTATATACAATTTCTCATTTAGTGACAAACTGATTTGATGAGCTAGTCACAGGACTGGAACCTCCACTGTTAAAGGAGGAATGTCTAGCTGCAGACTCATTTGGACAGCATAGCAAGAGACCCTTCTCAACAACAACAAAAACAACAATAACAACAATTAACTTGGATAAGTATTTCCGCTCTCTACTTGTTCCCTTTCTGCTGTCTTCATTCTTCACACCTGCAAACAGGGGCTATATCCTGGCATGCGAAGCCTCTCATCCCCTGTTAATCCTAGCTCATTCTCATTAGAAGACAAGCTAAGGAAACTCAAGAGGCTAATGTCACAGAGAAGAAAGTACGCCCCGTATTTTTTGCCTAACTTTGATTTTCAGACTGAAGACAGAAGTATTTTTCTCTGGATGAGAAAGATTCATTCACACTTAGGCTGAGTGGGTTCCTCAGGGGAGGGTGATATAATCATTTCTTGTCCTGGTTGTACACTTAAATTCAACACAACTATGACTTCTCTCAAGAGATGCTATGTTTAGTCCGAGCTCAGCCTGACTCTGGCTGATTTTTGAAGAGTGACCTCTGGGCAGAACAGGAAGTAGATGGGTACTTTCTGATGGTGTGTGTGGGGTGTGTGTGTGTGTGTGTGTGTGTGTGTGTGTGTCTGTATGTTTCATATGACCTGGCTAAGTCAATCCTACACAACACAGCTAATAGAATCTGCAAAGTCCACTAGTCGGTAGGGGCAGCTGGGGTTGCCAGGGGAAGAACGGGTTCTTTTGGTTTGATCACATGCTAGAAGAGAGGTATTCACTGTTTTATTTCTTATGGAAAAAAACAACAAATACTCTTCAACTGTTTTCTTCTGCTTGTTGCTGCAAAGCCTTTTCATTCTTATGCACATACATCTCTTCTAATTTCAAATATTGAGCAAAAGAAAACGGCAGAAGCCACACCCACCAAGTCCAAAATCAGAATGAAAATATCTTCCAGAACAGAATATAAATAGCAGAAAAATGAGAGTGAGCAAATGCTCTCCTTCAGAGCTATAGTGAGCAGAGCCAAGCAGAGCCACGGATAAATACCTGCATTCAGCAGCTATTTGTAATTCCTCCAAATCTAAATGTCTTTTCCAACACTAAATTCAAGCACCATGCTTTTCTGAAACACTGTGTACTTTGAGGTCAGGTTTTTATTTTCCTAATTTAGGACAATTTTGAACTGGACAAAATTTATATAGTGAGAGTCGCCTTTTTTTTTTTTTTTTTTTTTTTTTTGTACAGGATCTCCGAGGTCTACAGGGTCTCATTACACAGATCAGACTCATAATGATCCTCCTGTTTTCAGCCCCCCAAATGACCAATCTCAATCACTGTCTCAGCATACTCTGGGGGCAGGGCTGGCATGGAATGAATCAAATGCCAGCTGCTGCACTCTGCCTAAGCAGTCGCCTTAGTTTGCTGAGCTATCTGGCCAGTCCTGTTTTGTATTAGTTGTATTGCTTGCTTGCTTTCTATCTCAAATATGATTGTGAAATTAATATGCATTTAACAAGTATGAGACTCAAGACACGTGTGTGGAAATACACTTTAAAATTTCCCTCTCATAGCAATCTGGATATGCTTCAAATTCCCAGACACTTGCCATATATCTATAATTTTTGATAATATTTGGAAGGACTAAAGCACTTTTTAAAAAATCTTTTTTCTTTAGTAAAAGTTATGAATTTGGTAGTGGTAGTTACGTTCAAAAGTATAGAACCTGACTTAGATGACCACAATTCTTTTACAGAAGTCAATATGTTATATTTTTGTGACCACTTTATTGGAACATGTTTTACCTGACTACATGTTAGAAATGACTAAACAGAACACATCCTGCAAAGCTAATCTGTACAAAGCTTCCTGTCAATTTCTTGGACCAGATCTAGGATACTTATCAAGTAGACTGGGCCTGGGGCAAAACTGGCCAAACAACTGAACAGAATCTGACAAAGTCATGGAGACCGACGGCACATGTACAGAACACAGGAGCCAGAAGATCTCCACAGGAGCCAGGAGGTCTCCACAGGCCCCGAGCACTGTACGCAGAATCAACCAGAAAGTGCTTTTCTGAATTCTTCATTTTCATCTGGTTTGAAGCCAAATGAGCCTTTCCGAGGGCAGTTGAAATCTGGCACCAGGCCAAGTGAATTGTTCTTTTTTGGGGGGGGTGTCATTCATTTTTTATTTTATGTAGGAAAAATAAAATTTCACAATAATATAATAAGAGAATAATAGCAGTTAAAACCTTGTGTGTTGTTATCTTTAAAGCAGTTACTCAGCATAAAATATGGGCATAAAAAGTTCTATAACCAATATTAGCCTAAGCCTTGCTTTTCAGTGAACTAAGAGACACTAGACAGTTTTTGATGGGACAACTGTTCCAATGTTTTATCTGCATGAGGAAGAAACAAGAACAGGAACTCCAGATCCAAAACCCTCCTTTTGCTGATCCTGACAGTCCCTGCGAGTAGACCTCTTTTCAGATTTCGGTAATTCTGCATCCCTCCTACCTTCTCTGTGTGTCTTCTCTACTTCTTTGTTCAGGGCAACAAGCACAGGGAAGGAATGGTCCTTGGACCCAACACGTGGTAAGACAACTCTTTCTGGACATGCACAAAAGCAGGGGCAGAGGCAAACATGTGTGTGTGTGGGGGAGACAAATGCTTCCATAACACGCTGAGCCGTAACGAAGGAAATCTTCCCATTTCCAAAGAAAAGATGCGGTATAGAGAAATACATAGCAATTAAAATGCAAAACAGAAAAAATTCTACTGAACAATGCTCACAAAAATGCAAGCCAATGGATCTGGAAGAGGCCCAAAGAAACACTGTAGATGGATCAAATAAATTATGACGTGCCAAAGCAAGGGCTGTATTACCTAGTCATTAAGCACATAAGTGAGGCTGTCTGTACTTACATGAGAAGAGATCCACAATTCATTTTAGGCATGAAATAAAAGCAAAAATGAAAAATAAGTTGAAAAACAGTATTTATATTATCCTATTTTATCAAAATTCAATAAAATAATGCTAGATAGCTACATAGATAACTACAAACAAGAAAATAATCACCAAATCATAACTATATGTTTATTGATAAGAATTAGGATGGGATATACATATAAGATTCTTTTTCACTTTATAATATAAATTACCATAATATTGGAATATATTTAAAGAACACATGTAGTATTGTATAAGAAAAAGCTAAATAATGAGGGGCTGAGGAGATAGCTCAGAGGTCTAAGCATCCGCCTGGCAGGTACAAGGACCTGGCTTTGATCCCTAGTACCACATGCCTTGCTGGCCCCAGAATCCTGGGGTGCACTGTGCCAGCCACTGAAACCAAGTGTGATGGCCCATGCCTATAATCCCAGCACTGGGGAGGCTGAAACAGGAGGATCACCAAGAGTCCAAGCTGCGTAGTGAGATCCTGTACCAAATAAATAAATAAATACAAGATTTTTTTTTTTTTTAGAAAAAGCAAATAAATAATGAGAAGCGTTACCTGCGATGGTTTCATAGAGACCAGCTTTGTACCCTAAGTACTCATACTCTTCAAATCTCTGAGGTCCCTCACACAGGGCTCGGCACTCTACATCTTCATTGAAATATTCTCTTAAAGCCTTTTCAAAGTGCTTGACAGCCTGTTCGAAGTCATCGGCCTCGTAATGCTTCACTGCCGTGCTGTAGCTCTCCTGCAAAGGAAGCAGCAAGTGTTGCATTGTGGACTATCCAGGAACAGAGAAGGGCTGCACTGGGAGGTGAAGGACAGCCTCGCTGGATTCCAGTAACTACAGAAGTGAGGTGCTGGCCAAGCGAGTCGCCTGCTATAGTGCTGATCAACACATCCTGGGTACATGTGACACTGTGTTCTCCAGTCCTTCTGCCTATAGTAGGGCCCTGGAAGAAGTGCAGAACCGCTGATGTGACTGGAAATGACAACCGCTTGTGGATTTTGCCCATTAAGTTAGAAAGGCTTCCATCTGAAATCTTCTCTTACCCTTTCCTGCAGTTATGGAAGCCATTGAGAATGGCTATGCTGAAATCTGGAAATACAGATGTTCCGGTGTGATATCAGGTAGCACTTCACCCTCAAAATGAATTCTATAGCTCCATGAAAATCTAATTTGAAAAATATAGCTAAAATGAACAAGGCTCTAGAGCAAGAACTAGGAAACCACAGTGATCCCACAAAATTCACGTTGCTTCAGCTTTAGGTACAAATCTATGTGTTGGATGCCAGATGCAGAGGTGTACACCTGCAGGCTCTCATACCCAGAAGGCTGAGGCAGAATGGGCATTTGAGCTCAGGAATTGAAGGCTGGCCTAGCAAGGCCTTCTTTAAAAAAAATAAAGTGTGGAAAAAATTTGAGGCATAGAGAAAGACGCAGATATTTTTGTATAATATTCCAGGTTTTATCATATATATTCCAGATTTTTTATGTTAATCTTTTTTTTTAAAAAAAACTTTATTAAATAATTTTATTTTTAAATTAATTTTATTGAGAAAAAATAACAATTAAGACAGTTTCAAAACAGGTTAGTAGACAGTTGCAATAATTAATACATTGCATATTGTGGTCTTCATAGTAGTTATTCATAGTATAAGATGCAGACATGATATCCTGCACAAAGCTATTAGTGCAAATCCTCCTTCTCATTGAATTAAGAGAAAGTAACTGTGTATCTATCCTATTTTGTATGTTCAGATACAAAATGGTCCTTCATTTATATCCCCCTTTTTTTGTTTAGTTTTGTCAGAGATGGGTATTCCACTGTCATGTAAATATTGTAGGTGCGTGAATTCAGCAAAATAATCCAATATAGTCCAGTAGATCATAATAGTAGTGGGTTATCCATAGGACTGGCAATGTCAGAAGTTGTTGACTTGAGCAATCTTTATTTATTTTATTTTTATCTATTTATTTTTTGGGGGTGGAATCAGGGATTGAACTCAGGCCCTTGTGCTTGCCAGGGAAGCGTTTAATCCATTGAAGCCATCTCCCGGGCCCCCTTTATTTATTTTAAAGTTTAAATTTTCAATGAATTTTTTATTTGTAATTTAAAATATTTTTTTTTTCATTTTTCAATATGATAATTACAAATTTCATCTGAGGAATATGAAAATGCAAAAATGTTACTGGCAATTGAGACTCAATTTGATACACATTCACAAAAATGTGTTTGAGGCAAAGGAAACTTAGGAACACTTGGCCTCTTGTCATATAGGAAAGGGTACCCCAAACTCACCAAGTGAGCTTTGGCTTCTCGATCTACCAGCTGGACTGAGTCAACGCCAGCCGTGGTTCTGTAATTCTCGATGTTCTGCTGCATTTCCATGTGCTCAGGGTTGGCCATGAAAAACGTGTGGGCCGCCTGCACAGCCTCTTCCAGCTGGTCAAGCTACAGAGGGGAACAAAAGCAGGAAGTGAAGGTGAATATCTATAAATCAATCTCAGGGCAATGAAGAAGTCACTTTAAGGTCTCATAGCAATCCCACCACACCATTTTTATGTATTTGGTACAGGCTCTCACTACGCAGCTAGGACTCATAGTGATCCTGTTTGCAGGCTCCCCAGCATTGGGATTACAGGCATGCACCACCACACCTGGACCCGTTGGCTGGCTCAGTGTGCCCGAGGTGGGCACAGCACATGGTGTGGATGATCAAACCCCAGTTCCCTGTGCTTGCTTAAGCTGGCGCATAGTCCACTGTGCTGTCTTCCCGGCCCACAATCCCGTTTTATATATATTGAAGTACCATATTTAAATGCCAGGAAGTTAGCATGCAATGTGTCCTGAAATGACATGCAGGTATTTTGACTTTGGCAAAAAAGAAGCAGGCTCTGCTCCCAATTTATTCTTTCTCGTCTTTCCTAGATAACTGAGTCTATATACTTAAGTCTGTCTTATGATCAATCAGGAAAAAAAACAAAAAACAAAAAACAACTGGCAAGGCTGTGTGCCTCCAGGCCATCTTCTCAACATTTCTGTTCTGTGTTTGTTTTTTTTTTCTTTCTTTCTTTCACTCCATTTGTTATTATTCCTGAAAAACAGTGCACAAATGCTCATCTCATTTTTCAAAGGATGGGACTGGGTAAATTCTTCCTCCCAGGCTTTCAAAGGTAAAGGATAAAAAGTTAAAAGGAATAAATTATTCTAATATATGAGACGCTAACCTTCTAACTTTGATTCTCACTGATAGACAAGAAAGAATTTTTAATTATCACGGCAGAGGCACTGCCAATTTTTTTCTACTACTTAGCACTCCTTTCCATGGAAAAGTAAGGACTAGCAAAATGATGTCAGATGGAGAGAAAACATTCTCTCAGGCTTTCACAGAGAGCACATTGGCCAAGCAATGGCCGTGACTCATCCTCATGGCTGACACTGACAAAGGATCTACAAACTGTGGTACAGGGCTTCAGGGTATATCCTGAGGGGATTTGACTGACCTCGTCGGATAGAAAAGTTACATTTCTTGTTATATAGGTCTTGCTTTATCTTGCTTTTAACCATCCAGCAGAAAAGTACAAAAAGGAGGCATAAAAAGTAAAGCCATATTAAAGCCATATTAATATGCTGAGCTGTAAAAGGCTCAAGTCAACAACTTCTGACACTGCTAGTTCTACACAAAACCCACTACTATTATGGACTACTGGACTATATTAGATTACTTTGCTGAATTTACACACCTCAATATATGAATGGCAATGGAATTCCCATCTCTGACAAAAGTAAACATAAAAGGGGATATAAATGAAAGACCATTTTGTAGCGGAAAAAATATATATATATACCAAATAGTTAGCATAGATATACAACTACTTTCTCTTAGTTCAATGAGAAGAAAGTTTGAACTAATAGTGTTCAGACAAGATATCATGTCTGCATCTTGTACTATGAATAACTACTACAAAGACAACAATATGCAATGTATTAATTATTGTAACTATCCTACTAACCTGTATCGAAACCGTCTCATTGCTACTTATTTTTCAATGAAATTAATAAAAAAACGAAGTTGAACTCACTCTATTTAAGATACTCTGACTGGGACGTTAGTCATGCAGAATGTCTACAGAATGATGTATTGGCTTGACATCAGAAAAATCAATATGCAGGTTAGTAGTCTGGTTCATTGTAAAAGCTAACGCATGTTTAATCTATTTCATAGTGTCAAAAAATGACAGTCAGCTATGAGGAGCAAATACGAAATCATAGGGTGTCATGTAGTATTCAACTGGGTTTCTTCTGACACTCTAGCTACTCAAAAATTAAAAAATAGAAACAAATAGTGTGTTCACAGTCCACAGGGACTGCAGGCAAAGCACACAGGAACAACAAGCTCTCCCACAGAAAGTCCTCGCTGACTTATGATACAATCTTTGTGCTTCATTTTGCCTAATAAAAGTGGAATCTTTGCTTGTTTCACTTATCTTTCACATTGCTAACTACTGGGCTTCCTTTTATTCAATATTAAATAACTCTCTGCATTGTTTTTATGTTTGTCCTCAGTTCTTTGCCCCCCTCAAACCATTTTGACACTCAAAAACTCATTGTGCATCTCAATTCTTTCTCAACTTTAATTTTCTCCACTCATTACAAATCTATCTCTCTAGCTAGCTAGCTATATTAATTACTTAGGCATTTATGTATGGTACACAGGTACTGAGAATAAAAAGAGGGGTTCTAAATTTTCTGTAAGTTGACATTTATTGGCCAAATGAACCTAGAACAAGTTATTTAAAAGACATTTGTGCCTTAAATCCCCTTTAAGAAAAATACATGTCCATAAAAATGGCACACTACCCTCTACTAAACAGGGTTTTGGAAGGATTTCATTGCATAGTGTATAAAAATATGCTTCAGAAATCACTAAAGCTATAAAAAGTGAATGAGAGCATAAAACCTATAAATGATATGTTAGTTTCAAGGGTATGAATACGCCCCCCTATACAAGGAGTACATTCTATATCTTTAAAGACCATATTATTTACAAGGACCACATGGATTTACAATTGGCAAAAGCCATCTCCAGGTAATTGTAAACTATAAAGAGAGAATAAAACAAATTTGTGATGACAAACACAGGTGCTGCCACAACAGACATGAAGGTTGATGGGACATAATAAACCTTACGTTAATTTCTTCCCTATTTTCAAGCCTGGGCTCGATGTGTTCCAGTGATTTGCAGAAGCCTTGCTGCTATGTCTTCACGATCCGATCATTCCTTGTACATGCTTGGCAGAGACCAGTGGACAGGTGCACATTATTTTTCTAGGTGTACAAAATGTGACACACCTTTCCAGGGCAAGCTTGAATCCTGTGTGCTTTAAAAGACACTTTTCTAAACCATAGTTGTGGTTAAATACTGCAAGGGGCTGGTAAGATAGCTCAGCAGTCTAAAGCACCTGCTTAGGCAAGTACAAGGACCGTGGTTTGATCCTAGCACCACATGGTGCACCAGCCCTGCTCCCAGGGTGGGCTGAGCCAGCCACCAAAAAAAAAAAAAAAAAAAAAAAAACCAGAGAGAAAAAACCTTAACATTGTTAAACACTGCAGTGTCATCTGATTCTTATTCCCTCAATGGTGCTTTCACTCTGCATTATACTAGTTTTGTTAGAGCATATTTGTCTCTACTATTGAGGATATCTCTAGCTAAGACCCATATGAAATTTATATTTTATTTTCCCTTTATTTTAAAGATATTTCAATGCTGTCTATGAAAAAAAGAATTGTAAATATCTTTAACATATACATGAAAAATGTATTGCATGTAAATGTGCCTCAGAAGCTAAAAAGTACTAAATAGAATTTAATTTTTAAACAAATCTGAAGTTATCTTTCACGAGAGTTTCAACATAGACCAGTATGATTCAATGACTCTTGAAAACAGTCAGCCAATATCAATAAATTGGTTCCTTTTCTTAAATTAGACCACATTGACCTTTTTATTGGTGCTTTCCTGCCTTCTAACCCAATAGAGAACATAATATCATTCTCCACCTATAAGGAGAAAGGTGATTCCATGTCTGAACATTGAGCCATAAAACCTTTCCATGAACTGGACCTCGGTTTCAAATTCTTTTGAACCAGTTCATGAAACTAGAATTATGGGCCAGAATCTATAACATAGACCACTGTTTTTAACTAAAAGCTTGACAGATTTGTACTTCACTTTAGGAATTTAATTCACACACTAGGTATGGCTGGAAAAGACCAAGTCAACATGAATACACTAGGACATACAAGGTCACGTTATTGGGTAGATATTATTACAAACCCTTGTAAGCGGCAGGTTTCAGTTAAGGAAGCAACTACCTATTACTCCACCAACATAAACGAAAAGCAAACTGTATGTAAAGGTCCCAAATTGGATTCTCTCTCTCTCTCTCTCTCTCTCTCTCTCTCTCTCTCTCTCGCTCTCGCTCTCGCTCTCGCTCTCTCTCTCTCTCTCTCTCTTTACATTTAGTACAGGGGACAAAGGTTCTACAGGGTCTCACTGCATAGATCAGACTCTTAGTGATCCTCCTGTGTTCAACCTCCCAAGCGCTGGAATTACAGGCATGCGCCACCATGCTCAGTCTCAGCCGCCATCTCAGTGCGCCTGGTGCGGGGGCGGGGCGGCGGGCATGGGGGCAGCACAGCATGCCTGGGATCAAACCCTGGCCACTGCACTCTGCCTAAGTAGGAGGCACTTTAGTCCGCTGAGCTATCAGCCCGGCCCTTGGATTTTCTTTAAAACAAACCACAGGAAAGGAAAAGCCTATGCATTAGAAAAATAAAATTCGAAACAAAGAACAATTGAGGAAAGGGGAATTATTTGATAAGATGCTATTGAACTTCTGAGGGAAGGCACCGCTCCTTGCAAAGTGAGACAGATGGTAAGAAAAGTCTTTAAGAGACTCTAGGACATTGCAGTTCAGGCTACGAGGAACTGTGGCAGATGTTTCCTCCCAGCAGCACAGAAGGACAACAGTATGTGGCAGTCATGCTGCGTGGAGAAAGAAATGAGCACTGACTAACCCAACACCGGGTGAAAATGCAGAGGAGCTCTGCTGTGAACTGGTGATTGAACAAGGCTGTCGTAACACAGAACTCATTTTCCATAGTCAGTAATAAAGGAGCTATTTCCAAAGCATACACTGGCTATAAAAGTATCTTCAGTAGCTATCCTGTGACCACAAAAGAGATTCCAGAGCCTGTGCCATGGCATTTAGTGACTCTAGGAGTTGGCTTCACTCTTTCTAATGTCAATTCTTTCTAGTGCTATTAAGCAAACTCTTCACAGATGAACTGAATATCCAAAATGTTTTATAGTGTACATCACCCAATTCAAGAAAATACACAGGACTCTGTTATTCCGACCATATTCAAATTTCTCACTTTCTTCCCTCAGT